AAAAATGAAAAAAACCGACTTTGTGTTTTGCAATTTATTGTTAGTGCGACTTTGTTGAATCTATAATTTTCCCGCTTTTTTCGTTTTTTTTTTTTGTTTGTTTCTTTTTGTTTCAGGCTTCATAACAAAGGAATTTACTTTAGAGCAGGTACGAAGAAAATGGTTAAAGGCTACTCGCGGACATTTACTCAAGAGTTCGAAATAGAGGTGATTAATCTGTAGAACGTTAATATTGAATGGCTGTTCACAATAAAAGGAGTATACCGCTGACTATAAGACCTCTTACTGCCTTTTGTTTACCCTGCGAGCGGGCTCATGTTTAGGTTTCACCATACGGCCACTTTTCGGGCACAGCCGCCTTTTTAACCATCGACTTGCGACTTGCCACAATATTTCAAATTTGTTCGATGGATGCTGACATCCTCTCTTAAGTATTTGCATAGGAAACGTTTTTATTTAGCGATAAAAATGGTGCATTAGTTCTTAATTGAGACGAATTCTTTATCAATAGGGTCAAATTCAAAGTGGAATCAGGACTGGTATTCGGCTAGCACAGGGAGCCCAGGTATAGATGTCTCGTTGTAATCCAGTAAATAACAAAATGAAGCCATAACTTGGTTATTCCTTTATTATTCTCTTGTTATTTCTGTTTTTTTCACCTTAACATGTTCCCACCGATAGTTCACCTTCATTTTTTTCTGCATATAAAGCACACACAACCCACAATACCTTTATTCGCTCTGACGAAGGGTATAACGTTCGAAACATCAGTTTTATGAGCTCTTAATAATGGCTAATTAACTTTATCAAATCAGTTGATAAAAACAAATTATCTCGCAATGTTATTGTAAACAATTCAGACTAAAAATCCATTTTCATAGTGCGTAAAATTGAATCAATGCTAAGCTCTACCTGCACTTAATGCATGCTGGTTGAGTAATCACATGAACATCACGTGCTCGTGTATAGGCTGAAACATGGAGAGCGGATCAGTCCTCAGCATTCGAACCTCTTCAGTGTACATTACCATTCGTGTCATAGGAGTCAATTTCTAACACTGGCCATGATTTGTTTATCGAAGTGGTATAAAATGATTCTGAACTAGTCTCAGCCACATTCTGTCTTTCTCCGTTCCGCCCGTTAATGCACAAAGGCGTTGTAGTTGACGCTACGCGCTAACGAATCAAACTCGTAACCTGATATTCCAAAGTCCTATGTAGGGAAAAAAGGGTGACACGAGATTTCTAGACGAATCACAGTTTATTAAAGATTTCATTCTTAAGAAAAAAGTGGGAGAATACGATTGACTAACACAGTTTCAGATAGGAATGAAAACACTCGAGAGTCGACGATACGCGTACCTTGGTGTTCCGCAGTCGTATATCAAAGGTGAGAACTAAAATGTTGAAATCTCTCTCTTGAGGTGGATTTCAAAGCTTGGCTTGCCCCGTCAATGGAGTTTTTACAGAAGACACCGGAGAACTTGAAGATAACATAAGTTCGAGTATATTTCAAATGAATGTTGTATTTGTAATTATATGTAAAAAGTGATTTAACTGCAGAAGTATTCATTTACAAGCTAATATGCATGAACGCCTACTATTGATTTACCTTTTCTCCATATGTTTCATTATATGAAATGATCAGTTGATGTAGATGTGTTCCGAGTGAATTAAATTTGTGAGAGAACCTACTTGTGGCTTTTTTTTTTCTTTTTTGTCGCAAAAGGCATAGCTGGTGATAGGCCCTCGGTTAGAGGAGAGAAGAGTAAAAGAGAGCGAGGAAAAATCGGCGAGGTTCTTGGAAGGCATGACAACTTACTTCATCCTAATTAGATTTTTCTCTCACTTACCCCACGTTTATGCTCGGCCTCACTGTGTCAGGCTTCCAGAGGCAAGGTTAACTGTGTAGCATGAGGAAGAGTGTAGAATGGAAGGGAAGATTTTCTGGTTTACTTCTAGTGAGTTGTACAGGCGTTAGTTAACTTAAGTTAGTTTAACTCAGGTTTGTGGCTCGATTTACTCAGTTTTAGCTGAAGGTCTTTCTCAAGTTTGGTCATTATTAGCTGCGTAGCTCTACATGCTAGAGCTTCGAGTCCGTCATTGGAAATATAAATTTGGAGTGTAAATTCTAGTTCCCTAGTAAATTAAACCGCAATGGCAAGTTATTGAATTTCTTTAGTTATCTGAACGGTTGACACACTCATATCATATATTTTTAAATACTAACCGTCACTCCCACCCACCCTTGGAGGAAGTATTTGGATAGAAAATGTAAAGTTTAGAAATATTTTCTAACCTCCCAGAAATATATTTTAGTTATCCCTTATTTTACATCAGAGGTAACCAAAAACCCCCAAAAAGAGTCGCGTCAAGGGGATTCATTATACATCATGTCAAAAGAAAACGGCTCAGTTTTTGGGAAAAATTCGAACTGAATAATTCATTAAAACAAAAAGTTCAACATCACGAGAGATACAGAAACGTAGGTCATTGTAGCACATAATCCACACTGTGGATGAACCTGGCGCATGACTTAGAAACCTTTATAGGGTAAACTGAGAACGGACTCATGTGTAAGATCTTAAAGACGTTTTATTGAAGTTTTCGTTAACGTTTTACAGTGGATCGTGAACCCCTGCTCGTAACTCTATGTGACTTCCCTCAAAAAGCCACTAACACATTCAAGTTTTTCTTACTGTAGAAG